AGAGGAGTGGCGCGGGGCGGAGCGGGGTGGCACAGGGCGGCCACTCACCGCGCAGCCGTCCACCAGGGCGCGGATGTAGGGGCTGTTGTCGTGGGACATCTCCTCGTCGTTGGAGCCCAGGAAGCGGATGGCCTTGTCGTAGCTGCCCGTGGCGGCGTCCTGCCAGGCGACCGACTGGTAGCAGTTGTAGGTGACGTTCTGCTGCGCAGAGGCGCTGAGCAGCCGCAGGAAGGTCATCTGCACCACGCCCACCGGGCTGCCCTCGGCGTCCACGTAGGAGAGCTGCGGGCACAGAGGTGCTCAGTGCAAGGGAGGCGCCCGCCTGGGTCCACGCAGCAGCCGGGCTCTCCGGGAGCCCCGGGCCGGCCTCGCTGTCCACGGGCCTGGCTGCCGGTCTCCTGCCTGGCCAGGGGGCCCTGTGGACACCCCGCTCTGGGCTGGGCTCCTGGGTGACACTGACACACGAACCCCCTGTGGGGGGCGCTTAGCCCCTGCCGGTGGCCAGACAGCAAATCCCCAGGCAGGGCCTCCAGGCCTCGGGCTGTAGGCCAGGGCCCGGTGGCCGACACCCTCCTGGTCAGCGTCTGCTGGGCCGTTCCTGCCCTTCCCGGGAGTCCCCAGGGGACAGAAAGGCCGTCCTGTGGGCTGTGGCTGGCCTGGCTCAGTGGACACAGGCCCCTCTGTATAAAAGTCCCTGCTGTCCCACAGTAGACCCTGGGCAGCGGGCAGGGGGCTCAGGGACCCTCTGGGCTGCCTGGGCGCCCGTGCCAGGCAGGACCTGTCAGCTGGTGCGGGGCGCCGGGGCCCCGTCTGTTCTGCTCTTTACTTCCTGACCCTCATGGGGGAGCCCCACAGAGTCCCGGCAGCCCCGAGGGCCAGTCGTCTCGGTCACATCCCCACTGACCTGGAGGTCCCAGGACGGAGCGGACTGACCAGTGCTCGTGACCGGCTGTGCCCCCTGCCCGCCCGTCCCCGAGAGCCGCGCTGACTTATGAGAGTCGCCGCTGCCCACTGCGGGCTCGGGGCCCTGCGCCCCTGCCCAGGCAGGTCCTGGGGAGGGAGGGGGTACCCACCGGCTGTGCTGTCGGCGCACCTCAGGACGGGGTGACTGACTCGGGAGGGGGAGCATGCGCAGGGGCGGGCAGCACTGGACACAGAGGACCCGCGGCAGCAGGACCCGGGCGCGGGGGCGGGCCCTGCCGTCCCCCATGGTCTGCCAGGCAGACCTTACTTGTGGAGGGGCGGTCAGCCCCGCGCCCAGCCCTGTGCTCCCCATTGAGAGCTGGGCGAACGCGCAAGGACTTCCAGGACAAGCCACGTCTGCCCCATGGCAACTGCCTGGCTGGCCAGGCGGCACAGCGGAGGGCGCGGGGACCCAGACCTCTTCAGTGGGGTGCGTGGGCTCTGGGGGGGCCTGAGGCCACTGTCCTCCGGCCGCGCCTGTGCGCCCAGCCCGTGCCCATCTGGACACTCCGCAAGGAGCCCCCGGGTCCTTCTGTGTGCCAGCGCTTCTGCAGAGCCAGAGAGCCGGGGGGCCGCAATAAGCAGAGCCAGAGCAGAGCCGGGGGGCCCCGATAAGCAGGGCCAGAGCAGAGCCGGGGGGCCCCGATAAGCAGGGCCAGAGCAGAGCCGGGGGGCCGCGATAGCAGAGCCAGAGCAGAGCCGGGGGGCCGTGATAAGCAGGGCCAGAGCAGAGCCGGGGGGCCCCGATAAGCAGAGCCAGAGCAGAGTGTGGCCGGAGCGTGGCCCCGGGCCCGAGGGCGTGAGCGGGCAACACAGCCGCCAAGCACCGCCAGGTTAAGCTCAGTCCTGGGGTGCAGCAGGGGGAGGTGCGGCATGCGGGCTGGGACCGCGGGAGGCCGGGGCCACAGCCGGGGTGCAGGGCCTGGAGTAGCCAGGACACCCCACCCCAGCCACAGGGGACAAGCGGGCCTGCAGAAGCGGGGTCAGGCTTGGGCCGGGAAGGCGCATGGGGCCCAGCCTGGCCGTCTGGGAAGCGGCCAGGCCCTCACCAGGGGCACAGGCGACAGGGCCGCACGCCAGGCTGCCACAGCCCTCGGCTGACGGCCTCTTGCTGGGGCCCTCTCGGCCCTGGGCGGTGGGGCGG